ATTTTTCATTCTTTTCGTCTGTTTTTTCGAGTTTAAAAAATGTGAGCTGGCTGGAGCCTTCATCCCTTGTCTATTTCTTACACGAGATACCAGCCGATACCCCCCCCCCCGCTCATAGAGACTGCTACTACAGTTGATTATAGTTCCTGGGCTCCGTGTGGTGAAAACATTGGAAATCACACACACACACACAAAATTGATTTTAAGGGCAATCCTAGCGGAGCAGATCGTCAATAGTGAACAAAATGTTCGTAAATACTACTGACCGCAAAAGATGCTCATCGCGAAGTGGCTTGTTTATTTATATAATAAATATTATATCATTTTAGTAAAAAGGTAAACTGTCAATATTCGTGTATAAATTTGGTTGCATACGTTCGAACAAAAAACAGAGCACTGCTCATTAGTTGTCAAGAACAGTTGAAATTCAACTGTTGTGAATGGACAAATAAAATTAAATAGGATTTTTGTCAAACATTTGGATATCACACACCCCCCCCCCCCCCCCCGTGGTTTATATAGGATATCACGTCTCCGGTCCTCGGTGACCTATTGGGTCAATTATAGAGGGCGCACATTGGGTACAAACAAAATGGCGACCTCCGTGCAAGTTCTTGCTCCTAATGGCAGACGACAAACTGTTAAAGTTAATTCAAATCATAGCGTTTTACAGGTCAGTTTCTTCATTGTGTTATTCATCACTTCTATCTAATGTGCTGTATTTCACCAATTCCGTTATTGGTCAAAAATATTGTTGTAAACATGCATTGTCATAATGACGTGTTACGTTATGTGTACATTTATACGTTACCCAATTACAGTTTGTCTTGTCAGCGAACACAACCAACACTGTATTGAGTTACTATAGCATTATATTGATTGACATGACGTGTATTCAGTTAGTTCTTAGTATTGCAATCAATTGCAACCCGTGACATGAGCTCGGTACATTTCGTTGTGGGGTCGGTATGGTGACTGGATACTAATAGTAATAAATATATAGATGTTTACTATATTTATTCTGACAAGACACGTCGCGATGGGCAATTTACTACTACTAGTATGTAATCTGAAAAATAAAAAGCATAATTTCCCCCTGCTATAATTACACATTTTTTCTTATCTCTATAACTTTAGGGGGTTGTCTATAAGAGGGAGGGGCTTCAGGATTTTTAACCCCCACTGGATCTGCGATAATATGGGTAATAATATGGGTCGTTTCTGTGCATTTGTGTGTGCATGTATACATTACCAGCTTTTTCTCACACGTGTGATCCAATTTAGTTCAGAGTTGGTACAGAGACAGGAATTGATGGTGTTACGAGAGCAGATAAAGTTATTTTTTTGATTCTCTGAAGTTTCACTGTGTTTTTCTTTGATTTACCCGAAATACCTGAGTTTAATCTGAGTTTTGATGACGTATGCGCAGTTCTTGTCTCGTTGGAAATCTCGTGTGAGGATATTGTATCCCGGAATTGTATCTTTATTTGCGCAATGCTTATATGGACAAAATTCTGTCCCGTCAATTTCAAAGGTAAGAAACTGTGCTTATTGTGGTATTTATACACTTTGAATTATCATTTGTGTCTCTGGTTTGGTGATCGTGAGAAACTCTTGCTAACCTGGCGAGAGCTTCGCCAGAAAAAATGCCTTTCTTTTATTGTTGTAGGAACTGATTATGTATTGTGTAAATTGAAAGTTTACCTCGTGATTTAAGAGGTTTGCAGTACTCTCTCCGGGATTCAAACATGGTGGTGGTGTCGATACAATGCTTCTCTGAGACACGACCACATTTGTCAGACTCTGCCATGCTCGAAATCATTATCGCCATGCTTGATTTCCGCAACATTTACATTTGTTTATGATTTCCACAGCTATTGTTCTATGCGTCCTCGCTGTTCATAAACAGCCATAAACAAATTTATTTGGGTCGGCATGTACTCATTGAAAGTGTTGGTTTATTTACGTAATCCACTGATCACGCCATAGCCGAAGTCATGATTATGTCGCTACTCGGAGAGCTTGCCCACAACGCTAATGAGTTGACCGCAACGCTAAAGAAATCCCATCTCGACTAATCAAATCTAATAATTTTATTGTGAATCTGTTATGCACGATTGCTATTTCCGGTGTTCATTGGCACTTGCTAGCAGATTGAAAGGAAGTGTGAAAATTGGTTTTGTGGCGACGTATTAGACTAGGATCTCGAAAAAACACAAGTCAAGTTCGGCCAACCGTGACTGCTTGAAAGCAATGATGAAATTGAGAAGTTCTGTGATTCAATATCAATGAATCTATCATCTCTTTTAAATTGAAGTAAAAGTGATACCCGAGTGCTGGAGAAATTACTACACCTATGACATCGATTGACTACTGGGTCCAACCGGGACCTACCGGTGTTGAAGTTTATTGGTAAAACGAACCTCTGTCAACAGAGACACATTTTCCCAATCAGCTATTTATTTCTGTACTGAAGTCAGGGTGGCAATTTCAATGTTTAGCTACCATTATTAATCTCCATTATGAGCAGGAAAATAAATTACGGACCCTGATTGAGATGGATAGTTTATAACGGCGGCCATGTTTTTGTTTTTTTCAAATGTTGACAATGCAGTATGCAAATTATCAGCACACGAGCGAAGCTATTAAGGGGGCAGTGAAACGAGATTAGGGAGGTGGTCAAATTCACGTAATCCTCAATTTTAATGATGTTGACTTAATAGTCATAATTTTTTTTTTCAAAACTCGAGATATTATTGTATATAACTGTAAACAGTTAACAATATTAACTAATATATTTTTGGCAATATACCCCATTTTAATTATCTAAATATGTTTCACTGTATACAGTAAATCTTTATTTAAAAAATACAACTACAATATGGTAATTAGTATGCAAATGAATATGCAATTTAGCCGCCAACCTGAGACAGTTTTCTGGAATGAACACTGCAATCCAGTTCAAAGGAAATTTGACATACACTTAGGCTACATGATCACTACCTCTGCTGATTAGTTTTTTATGCAATTCTATCTGCATTTATATTAAATGTATTAATTTTTTGATTTTTCTCAATAGTAATTTTTCATTTCTTTAGATATCTTGGCATCCATTTGGTTCAGCTCAAGTGAAATTTTCTGCATATCCCTGGTCAGATTTTAATGACATTGAAAACACAAGTACATGTACTCTGGCATTTTGCACTTTTCTTAATATTTTTTGCAGAATCCAGTAAATATTAATTTGACAACTTTGTAGAGTGGAAACAGACTGGTGAATTAGTTCATCCTAGACTTTGGTAGAACATGTTTAAAATAGCACAGTGTGAACTGCAATTTCTTTCTGGCTGGTATAAATATATTAAGTAATATTTTTTCGTACTAAAAAGACTCTGTACACAAATATCTTTTCTAATTAATTAAAGTGCCTGTGCAATGCCCACCCACACGCTTCCCATTTTAGATCTGTGCCCCACTGAAATGGGCAATTATTGATTTTTTTGCTGAAAATGATTACTCGTATCCAAGTAAATTTGAGATATTTCCCGTGCTGTAGCCACGCCCACCTATCCTGAAACGGTCGACTGTTTCCGGATTTCTGACTCTCGCCGAAAGTGCGCCACCAAATGCAAAAATATGAGAGGAAGCCATACCCCTGAGCCGTACTTTTATATCACTGTGTCATTCAACGTACAACTGTACTTTTAAACGATATACATTTTTTAATCGGCGTTTGTCTGTTTATTTTTATTTTTGAGAGAGCGAATTTTTAGAAGTTGTTTTCACAACAAACATTTATGATGGTTAAACGTTGTGTTGTGGGCGGTTGCAGTAATGCGTATAGTCATAGTGTAAGTATTTACACGTTTCCAATCAATCTGAAGGTGCGAAATCGGTGGACGAAAGCAGTGAAAATAACGAGAAAAGGTTGGGGTGGACTTCCTCCTAACGGCGTCATATGCAATGTCCACTTCACCTCAGATTCTTTTTTTTGTGTGTGTGAAAAACTTTCTATGTTATGACAAAACAACTACCGGTAGGTTTTAACAAGAAACGCCGACAATACAAAACGTTTTCGAAAAAATAGATTCCGGACCAGCCCATGATCACTGAGACGGATTTCAGAAGGGAGAGAGACGTCGAGTATGTGTTTCAAATGATTTGATTTTTTTTTTGCGATCCCGATTATCGCTTTATAGAGACCACCCGTGTTATATAAAAGGTAGCAGTAATTTTGATAATGACACGAAAACGAAGCGTCGGACAAACAGGAAATTACGCAGCCCTCAGGCTTTTTCATTTTCGCAAGCTAAAAGTGTCTGAATTGTTCAGTTATTGGTGTTGAATGTCGGTTTCACACGTTTGTTGTCTTTACTTGCAGCTTGATCGGCATAATAATTTACGGAATAAGAATCCGGGCTTGAGCTGTCAGTGTATATTTTTAATATGATGTCATAATCATGAAAATCACGCTAAATCCACTCTGAATTTGTCTGTATGTGAGTCGCTCTCAATTATTTTTGTTACCCAATTAAACGCCGCC